GTGTTTTGGGAGCATCAGTTACAGCCCAAGTACTATTCAAATAACAAATAATCCTCTCGTCCTCTGGAGTCCAGACTCACACCTTGATGTGCCAAGGTCAGGTACAGGAGTTGGTTAAATCTGTACAGAGAGAGGCCTTATGTCTCTTGTAAATAGAAACATTTAAACATCAGCATTGTTACAGTTCACTAAGATGCATCTTAAAAACCATGTTATACTGTCGCTACCTGAACAAATTAAGGAGGTTGCTCTGAATTTGAACAGTTGACGGCTAAAAAGAAACTTAGAACTCATGTAAGCCCCAAACCCTGACCGGTTGATGAAGATGCCTACAGCCTCCCTGAACCTGGTTCTTACAGAGGTTTCTTTCTGTTAAAAGAAAAGTTTTTCTTCCTTTTGTTGGCAACAGCAGGAAAGGAATCCTTAAGAACTGTTGGGTTTTTGTCTATAATTTTGTAAGGCCTTCACCTTGCAGTGTGAAGTTAACATATGTGACCCATCTGCATGAAATCAGTCGCACTGCACTCTGGGCTATATCCGAGATACAGCGCATAATGAAATATTGATTTTGGGTTTATTACTAAACATCAGTCCATTTAGTTGTTTTCTACATGTAGGTAACACATATTATTACAGAGCATAGTATCCATATTGCTGTCACATACCATCAGCGTGCTTGAGCGGCAACACCAGAAAGAAACCACGGAAAACACTCGCGAGCAATGTGTCATCGCCAGCCAATCCTGTCACATGATTTGCGTCATGTGGTAGCAACATGCCGCTTTTGTTTACGCATAATAGCCCAAGGAACAATGCAACTGATTTTGGGTCACATATGTTGTGAATTTACACTATATTAAAAAGGGAATTGAAAACTCAGTGAACATTTAAACCCTGTTGAAGAAAAATTCTTTATTTACATCACTTTAATCGTATTCCGCAAGTTTTTGAGTCAAACTTTGGTAAAACACACCTTGTCTTCAACTGCCAGTAACAACAGGGTCAGCCTATTTAGCCTCTACACTAGATTCACTTCATTCCTGTTGAACATCAGTGAAAATAC